GGAGAGACCCTGTAAACCTCCCTAATTATGAATGTGTATGTAACTTGCTGAGCCTACAGCTTCTCAGCGTTCGCCGTGACGTCGTTAAGGCTGTCTTCATCGCCGATCTCCTGCGTTCGGACATTGACTGTAGTTCACTTTTGCAACAAACTAACATTAACATAAGACGAGTCAATTTGCGAACCCACTCTTTCTTTACGATCCCGACTTCTCGCACAAACTATGGTGCAAACGAACCAATTACCAGCATGTGTAAAATTTTTAATAATGTGAAAACTTTTTTGACTTCAATGCTTCCCGTGCTAGCCTTAAGTATTTATTCTATAATGTTTTATCAGCCTGATTAAGTAAAGAATGTTTCCTTATTTAGTTTAAGTACATATGTATCTGTAGGATTTTACGTTATTTGTTGATACAAAAAGAAGAGGTTTTCCGCCCACTTGAGAAGAGGCAAGGTTGGTCCTTCTGAAGTGGGCTTTCCCTCTCAAATAAATAAATCAAAAAATAAATAAATAAATAAATAAACATGATAGTCTAACACTTATTCGCACTGAAGTATAGTAAATTGATAAACTACATTGAAAGGAATAGTTCTTGTAGGCTTCAAGCACTAAGCCTGCAAGAGTTTTTTGAAAAAATATATTCCATTCGTTTATTTTTCGAGGGGGGTGACTCTATCTTCAATGCAGGAAAGATTATATTTTACTGTGGCTAGCTGCGCGAACGCTGAGTAGATAGTAACAAGATTGATGACGAGAAATGAAAGAAGATTTTTCGAAGATTCGCTAGTGTGAGATTTTATGTGCATCTAGAATGTAGATTTAGATGTGTAGAGGCCATATTATCCCTATGGCGAACCTGCTCCACTTTCCCCTACGCGGATTGTTAGCAGAGCCCCCAAATATTTGGGCAATGCTAAACTAACCCTACAAAGTACCAAGGATCAGAACGTTGACACAGGTGGCGCGTTCCTCTTTAGATGCGAGATTTAGGACTCGCCTTCCTAGAGCTTTTATCATCATGAACCTGAAGTGAAAAGTAGGAAACGGATAGGAATGGGAATGGGAATGGCAATGGGATTGGGAAGGGAAATGGAAACAGAAGTGGGTGAGAGTAAGAATTATCGCAAATCCTAAAGCAATATCGCATCACATCAGCGTAGGTAAACGAGCCTAAAGCTAAGTACCCACAGCACAGTGGGGCAAAGCCGGTCTTCATTGAAATTTCGATTTATGAATTATTATTTTTTATAACAGTTTTTATCATATTCTCAGATAGATTTTAGCGTCATATACAAAATTCCAGGATAAATAATCCGACAAGAATTGAATTTTGTGCATAACGGTAAAGATGAAAATTATTTAAAAAATAGTCATTTTTATACCGAAGCATTGCATATTGATCTTTCAAGAAATTTGCTATACCGTATGCGTGATAATGTTTACACCATTCCTGAAGGGGGTAAAGTGAATACGAAGCAAGGGCGTAGCCAGGTTTCGAGCTAGGAAGGGGCGAAAAAAAAATTACCATGGAAAATTTGGCCGAATGCCATTTCACCGAACGCCATTTCCTCGAAAGCCTTTGTGTTGCCGAGTTTAGGGGGGGGCAGTCGCCCCCCCTGCCCCTATCTGGCTACGCCATTACGAAGGATTACTGAGCAATATATACCGGAGCCGAATGTGGTCTTTCAGCAAGACGATCCACCATGCCACACCTCGAACCGCATGTAGAATTGGCTGGAGGAACATCTGCCGTTCTGGCCGAAAGATATGTGGCCACCATTCAGTCCCGATCTAAACCCCTTGGATTATTCAGTGTGGCGCGTCATGAAGGCCAACCCAAGTAGCATTGCAAGTTTTATCAAGGTTTTGAAGCATTCTATAAGTCTAGTTCATGGTCTACAGAAGGGGGCCTCCCTTAGCTCAGTCGGTAAAGGCGCAGCTACAAAGCAAGACCATGCTGGAGGTGGCTGGGTTCAATTCCCGGTCCGGTCTAGGAATTTTTCGGGTTGGAAAATTTCTCGACTTCCCTGGGCATAGAAGTATGATTGGACTTTGCCACACAATTATACCAATGCAAAAAAATGGAACAGGCATCGAAAGCTCTCTCAATTAATAACTGTGGAAGTGCATCTAGAACACTAAGTTGAGAGCACGCAATAAGCTAATATGCGATATGCAATAAGCTTGAAATGCGAAGAAGAAGAAGAATTCATGGTCTACAGAACCCTCATAAAACCAAAATTGTTACTTGGGAAGGCCTTTACCAAACACCACTCCAAGCTTCAGACAAACATTGACCCGCTCCTGTAGAGATATGGATCCGGACTATATTATTAAAACCTGTCGAGCATTCCGGAAGCGTATTGAAGCCGTAATTGCGGCAAATAGAAATTCTATTCATGATTAACATAGGTATAAGTTCTTACAAACATATCCCTTTTGAATAAATGATTTTCTCCGAAAATTTTCAGATTTTATTTTTGTTTCCACAGTGTTTAATGGTGCAAATATGATCACGCATACTTTCAATGAAAACTACCATTGAATAGCTTGAAACTATAGAATTAGAAGTACCAAAACTATTGATACGTAAATTTTATAAAGTTCTAAACGTGAGACGAAAAATAACACTAAAAATTTTGAAAAATCGTACACACAATTTTTTCTACGAAATTAATATTTTTTAGGTGGTGTTGACACCAGTGCATTTAATTTTCATATCATTCGATTGAAGATGAATCAATACAACCATTCAATCAATTCTGTGAAAACGAATTCTCACATAATTTGAAGAGCCCTATTCTCATTCGAAGCTCATCATCATTGTCAATTGAGTCACTCACTATCATTTGATATACGACACTGGAATATGGAAGAAACTTAGCAAAATGATCCCGAACATACAAGGTGGCCTGATGTCGGATCAATGTAAAGCAAATTTAAGGTCGATGTCGACCCAATTTCGTGTTGTGGTTCAATTTCGGGTTTATGTTGGGTCAATGTTGGGTCAACATCGGGTTGGGGTTTGGTAGAAGTCAGGTTGGTGTTGGGTTGGCTCAGCCTTTTCGTCGGAATGTCGACCAGAACTCCGTTAATGTGTATGTTACACTCAATTGAATGATATCAAGCGTTTCTCAAATAAGAATGATCCATTCCTTCGTCAAATGACTAAGCAACTTATATCACCCATTCGAAGGAGGTCTTCTTTGATACCGGATAGCTGCTTTCCTCATTTTCATCAAAAATGTTCAATTGATTTTGAGAATCCATAGCTCTGGTTGACATAATTGCAAAATGTATCCCGGTGTTCTAGTTATATTGATGATGTGATATCACATGTGATTTATAATTTCATAAAATCTGTATCAAATATATTGTTTATTATTTTTTCTATATTGCTTCTAGGCAGAGCTTCATAATTACCGAAGAAAACATCAAGTTAACTAGATAAACAAAAAGTTGTGACTGAAAGTGTGAGTCCGTTTTATAAACTGAAAACTGAACAGTCCGTAATAGTTTGCAATGAGCCACGACAAAAAAGAACAAAATACTTTAATCCTTTTAATGGATATTTTAATTGAATTACTCACACCCCAACCGACCGCACAACCGGTTATGTGGCTGTGGCTACGTACGGTCCAAAACTTTGCTCCTCTGTTCACTTTCAATCATGAGCGCAGCCAGGACAGCTGGGTTGACTTTCGAAGTCTGATAATTTATAATGCTTTTGTAAGAATCTTCATTCTGTTTATTTCTTGAAACCATTGATTAGTTTTTTCATGGTTTAAAGCCTAAGGGATAAGGAAAACCTTAAAGATTCTGGTACCTAATGCGGGTAACTTTGATAGTGGAATGTAATGATTTAATTTACTCTCTGCATTATTTCAGTATTGAAAACATAGGTCCCATTTTGTAGCTTAAGGTATTACCTTTGAAACCATATAGAGTTTTAAATAGTAGGTTTTACATATTTTCCAAATAACTAATGAAATGTATTTCCGATATAGCCATCACTAATTCAATGTTGTCTTCTCATTGCTTATGATGTTTCTGATTAGATACTAATTCAATATGTATCGAATTGTTGAACTTAATTGTTCAAGATTCACGAATGATATTCTACATTCATCGAGTTTTATCAAAGTATCCCCAATACAAAAAAAACTCATATTCTGTCACAAGACAAAAAAAATAGTGCAAGTGCAATAATTTTCGTTAAACATATTACTACCCAATTGGCTCTAGGATTATCAGAACTTGTTTTAAAAGAATAATGTTTGAAAAACAATAATTTTGTAACTATCAAAACTATCAAAGTTACTCCGTTTTACGGCAATTCAAAAAATGAGGTTTAAGACAAAGAAAATTTGTCGAGATCCCCGACATAGAAAACAAATTAAAATCTCAATAGAAGGAAAAACTATGATTATGGGACATGAACAATCTCCTGTGGATTAAATATTATGTCTCACCACGGACTTGAACAAAACCAGTATCTGAGACATGACTTCTGTGAATGTGCAAGTGTTAGTGCAATTAAAATGAGATAAATAAGGTATATGTGCAGAAGCGATCGTATGTACACGGCTTACTGCACTTATACTTGGACCGACGAACGGCTATGGAAAATGAATTCCAAACCTCCATCATTAATAACAATGAATTATTTTCTCAATAATTTCCGGAATCGTGAAATATTTAAACAGTAGAATTCATTAGTCTCCATAGCTTTACCCCTATTTCGAAACCTGAACACGCCCTTACTCACAATGTTCCCGCTCTCTCTAGACAGAGAATCGATCGTCATCGGTCCGAACGAAGATTATGCTGATTGCTTTTACCCAAATTGATGAACGTTTAGCGAAAATGTGCATTTAAAGAAAATTGAACTTTCCAAATTGTTGGTATACCAGAACGGATACGAGTGGGCGTATCCGTGTGTGGGTGGAACTGAACATACGGACGGACCACGTCTAATTTATTCTTCCCCAATTGCAGAAGCCGTTGCGGACATCGTGGGAGCGCCGGATTTGCACATTGATGAAGGCTCAACGCTACGGTTGGAGTGCAAACTGAAACGAGCCACCGAGTATCCCGATTACGTGTTCTGGTAAGTTGAGCGGTGCTACTAAATTCAGGGACGGAATGCGCTTCAATGCATGTGACTGGAGTTCGAATCGTGTGGTTAAGGATCCCATATCGATAGATTAAGTAAACATTTCTGTCGGTATTTTTTGTTTATATCTTAGCACTTTCATTGGTGAAGAACCAAATTTGGATTATTAGTCGACTATTGTTGTTTTAACTTTACAAATAATTTGGAACAATTGATCCTTGACAGCGTTAAGCAATGCTGAAGAAAATTGCGTTTCAAGGAACGAAATATATCAATGAATATGATGCATTTATGCCTTTTCCATACATTTCAATAATGATGCGAAAAATATTGCTTCATACATTATCTAGCGTTGAAAAAGGTCAGCAACAATCAACAACAATTCAATGCCAATCGAGGAGGGCGAATATATCATTTATTACAAAAATAAAAGTCAAATAATTTTCATTCATTACATTCAGTAGGGTTAGGGTATATGTCCCTAACCTCGGTTTAATATGACCCCAAGTAACACATAAAACATCTTTTTAAAAAATAATTAGAACGGCTTGTTATATAAATGTATTATAAGTGATGCAGAAAACATCCCACGTTAAATATGTGGTTTATAGATGTTTTCTTCATACTTCCTTGATTCAACGTTTTCCAAAATAGTTTTCTTTTGCTTTTATCTTTAAATTTTATTTAAACGTGCATCTTACTGTTTAAATACCACAATAAAACTTGTCGTATACAAAATCAATCTTCGTTGAATTTATAAAGTTCTTGAATAGATTCTGAACTTTCCAGATTGACGTAAACATTGACGGTGCCATTGAACCGGACTGTCTCTTCATGCAGTGATTGACAGTTTCTTATGAGGTATTCGGAGGTTTGTTATAAAGAAAGTTGAAAATACTTTTTAATGACATCTCATAAATTAATACAACTGAAAATGTGCAGGTTGTCTTATAAGGAGTTGAAAAAACGTTTAAATAACATTCTGGCAATTAGATGTACGCTTTGCTACTAACAAAACGTATTCATGACGGATCGAAGGCGTGTTGAACGAGAAAATAATTTTCATGCCATTGGCAAGAACATGATAGATACTTATAACAAACCTTTCATCAAGCGGTGTTGGTCTAGTTAGGTAGAAACAAGTCTACCACGCCAAGGACCAGTGATCGAATCCCATGCTCAAGATTTTTTTATTGTTTTTTTTTTGTCGCTGGTTTTTATGATGTTTCCAAAACATGTTATAAGACCAGTATTTAGTTGTATAAGCTCCGCGTCTTGCGCTTTTTAGGTTGTATAAATGTATTAAATGATGTATATTAAAGTATTAGTGATTCTTTGCGTTAGTCATTACAAAGTATTTTCAACTTCTTTATGACAAGCCGTGTTGCTTGGGATTATAAGGAGTTGAAAATACTTTAAAATAACACTCTGGCAATTAGATGTACACGCTTTGCTGCTAACTAAACATCTTTATGACGGATCTAAAGCGTGTTGAACGAGAATATAATTTTCATGCCATTGGCAAGAACATGATAGATACTTATAACAAACCTCTCATCAAGCGGAGTTGGTCTAGTTAGAAAGTAATAAGTCTACCACGCCAAGGATCAGTGATCGAACCCATGCTCAAGTTTTTTTAATGTTTTATTACCGCTGGTTTTTATGATGTTTCCAAAACATGTTATAAGACCAGTATTCAGTTGTATAAGCTACGTGTCTTGCGCTTTTTAGGTTATATAATTGTATTAAATGACGTATATTACAGTATAATTGATTCTTTACGTAAGTCATTAAAAAGTATTTTCAACTTCTTTATGACAAGCCGTATTGCTTGACGCCTTCAATAACATTTTTGTCGTATATTATGTAATAATTGAGCTGCAGTCGTTATTTCACTGTCAATATGCAAGCTTAGATATTCTTATTATCTGGATATTAATTCAGCACGACTGAAAATTGTAAAACTCACCATATTAATATGAAAATTTTCGAGGTACGTGGGTGAAATTTCGGTCTACAGTACTCAAATTGGTCTATAAATGGATGCAACTTCGTCCTATCGAAGATAAACCTCGATCTACAAAGGTTCGGCATGTGAAATCACGCTTCTTTGTCACTCCTTATCATTGATAAGTAACGACATTGTTGACGTCACTGTCACTTCTCGCGTAAGAACTTATGAGGAAGAAAGAGACAGTGTTTTCTTTCTGGTTGATCCAGATAACATAAACCACGATGCTTTTAAAATACAAATAAAAACCAAATAATTTCATCTCACGACCACACAAAAAAAGAAATGCATTAGCTCTTAAGTAACATTGACAGATTCTTTTCGTAGTTTTGCTCTTTTCATCCCAACGGCCGTGTTAGATATACAAGCATCTAATACCGTATGCGTAATAATGTTTGCACCATTGAGCCATGCCAAAATTAAAAAAAAAATTATTTATTTTTTTTATTTTTTTTTTATTTATTCAAAGGGGGGATGTTTCTCAGAGTCTTAAACTATGTTAATCATTGATCGAGTTTCCACTTGCTGCTATTACGGCCTCCACACGCTTCCGGAATGCAAGGCAGGTTCTAATAATGTAGTCTGGATGCATTTCTCACCAGGTACGGGTCAATGTTTGTCTGAGGCTTGCTGTACTCGGCTGGCGTTTAGAACAGGCCTTCATGACGCGCCATATTGAGTAATCTAGCGGATTAGGATCGGGGCTGGATGGCGGTCACATATCCTTCGCCCAGAACTGCAACCACTTCTGAGTGCGCTTCGAGGTGTGGCACGAAGCCCCATGTTGTTGAAATACAACATTTGGCTTCGGACCGTACTGTTCTTTGATCCACGGAAGAACATAATTATTACTTAAAATCCCGATGTAGACCTCCGTGTTGACCTTGTCGCCTTCTGGAATGAACACCGGGTCCATTTTTTTGCCATCGGAAGCCACCAATCCAAACACCATTACGCTAGCAGGATGCTTGGTCAGATAAACGTTCTTGTGCTCGTCGGCCACGTCTTTTAACGGAAGAGAACTAAGATGTCGGTCGGTTCTGGAATTTGATACGGGATTGACGGTAAACATGCTCTCGTCGGTGAACAGGATTACCGGATTTTTTCGCTTAAGGAAGTTCAAGATTTTCTTGCATCGTTCGACTCGTAGCTCCCGGATGCAGTTGGTAATCATGTGAGTTTTTTTCCGTGCCCTCGACTTCACCCCGTAATCTTTCTTTACGATCTTCCGTGCCGTAAAGTCACTGATCTCGTGTTCCTTTACCATTTTCCTTATTGAACGTACTGGATTCACCCGAATCTTCCTTTTGATAGCAGCGATAACCCTCGGAACCCGAGCTGACCTCGGACGACATATGGCCACCTTCGCGGATAGTTGTCCTTTCTTTTCTCGGTCTAAAACCCTTTTGACGGTCCACTGGGACACTGCCACGGCGATTGAAATGTCTTTTTGTGACATTTGCGCGTGGAACAAATCACGAATACGCTGCCACTTTGTCATGGTGCAACTGTCAAACTAAGTAAATCATTTTCTTTTAAACACAGCATACCACGGTATGAGCTATAGGTTACGTGCATGCAAAGAAAACCAAGGCATTGTATGCACAGGTGAAACGGGAACCTTATTTGTACGATGGTGCAAACATAATCACGCATACGGTACGACAAGAAACGGATTTGTAGCCAAATATGAGTCAGACCGTGAAGTTTATTTTGCCGGCAGGATTGACTGCACGCTATTTCTAAACAACGCTAATTAGAATAGGATCTACTCATATCCATCTAAAGTAGGGCATACAAAATTAAGTAAACAAAGTTGGAACTGATAAGACAAATGAACAAGCCAGTGACAACGCCTATACCAACAGCAGCGTTTGACACTAGGTAGCAAATCATTTATTTTGCTGTGCTGGGCCCGCTGTCACCGTATAACATGTTGCCAACGCGCCTGCCACTGGGCTGCAAATAAACAACTCGTTCGGCTTCATGTCGATGTTGTCCATTCATCATCTTGTCATTCCCAACTTTGCTTACTCAATTTGGGGTACCCTACTTTTTACGGATATGAATAGATCCTACTCAAATCTGGGTTGTTTAGAAATAGTGTGTGCACCGTTTCGACCCGTCATTTTGCCTGCACTCAAAATAAGTTATAGTTACGTGAAAATTAATATAGAGTCACTGTTTTTCCATTTCTGTCAATTTTACGTGACACAAGTAGAGTCTACGTGACACCACATATGGATCAACGGAAATTCCCTTAGAAGTCGGTAGATTTTCTAATAAAACGTACGTGATTTGCACATGCACACATTCTATGTGTCATTCACATAGAAACAAGTGATTCTCACATGAAAAAAATAAATGAGTGGTTCAATCACAATGGTACACAATATGGTGGCATTGCAATGTGTATGTTTGCATGCCAGTGAAAATCTAGACAATTTATTTATTTATTTGCGTGAGACAGTTTCGAGTTGTAAGTATAATAACTAAAAAAAATAATGAGTATAATGAATTTAAAGTTTGTTTCTTTGCTTTAGTATACCGGCAAAAAGTACCATGCGTAACCTCGAAATTGTTTCCCCCTGTGTGTATATTGACCGCAATAAAGATATATTGGAATGCAGGAATACTATAAAATCATTTGTAATGCGAAATCAAGGATACATTTTATTTACACCAGAATTAATCACGAAGCTTCTACGTGATATTGCAATAACCATCTCGCTCACTGAAATTAGTGCTTCCATGTATGAATAATGTAACTCTTTCGTGAAAAGTGCGATGGAAAAAAATCTATTTATGTTTTCACGTAGCGTTGACGTGAAAATTATTTTGAGTGTACGAGATTTTTCAGTGGAATGAAAGGATAAGAAACGATCCGCTATGTTTCATGAAACTGACATCTGCCTAAGAGGTTTTCCTATAGGAGTGAACCATTGCAAAGTCGTCGTCAACGCGAATGGTTTCACCAAAACAAAGTTATCAAATAAAGTTCTAAAGTTCGTAGGCCATAATTGAACACACGTCTCAAAATGACGTCCCTAATATTCGGCCCATACTTATATAGTGCAAATAGCGTAAATCTTCCAAATCAACAGTTACAGTGATAACAGTGACCTTTCAATTCATGAAATTATCAGGTTTTTTTGATGACCACTGCAGTGAAGATTTCCGTTAGTGCAATAATACGGCAAGATCTTGACGCCTAGAAGTCGAAAGTATGATCATTTTACTAAACTTTTTCTTTATAAAAGAGCAATAAATGTTTTAAATTTATCCCAAAACTAAGCAATTCATTTACGGATTATAATATCACAGCAGATGTGGTATTAGTTTTTCATTACTATTATGATTTATTGCTGAATGAATCAGTTATTTGTTGATAGGCCGAAGTGAGGGGCTAGCCTGACATTACATCCCGTAACCCTATATCACAGGAAAATTTGTCTGACGTGTCACTATTGTCATCAAATAAAATAAAATAATAGATAAACAAGATAAACAAATATGTACATTGGTAACCTTTTTGGCCATAGAGGCGCTTTCATCGCTTGAAATTCGGTTTGCCACCTAAGCGAAAGAGTGTTTCATATTGTTAATAAAATATATTTGAAGGAACGTCTTATTTTTCCCGAAGCTCTCAAAAACCGCATTGATACACAAATTTTACGACAGTCGCAAAATTTATTTCAACTTATTCAGTGCACCGACCCTCCATACGACACTTCACACTCCATAAATATGTGCCATGCTTTTAGCAACTAATTTTGATGCACTCCGTTCCCGTTAGCAAAGCGTTAAACTTTTAACCAACTATAATAGACGACACTTAAAAAAAATCTTCAATCCACTTTGCAGGTACCATCAGCACAGCATGGTAAACTTCGACCAGCAGAATGGGTTTTCGGTGACGCCGTTCCAACCGGTTGATAGCACAGCATCATCGGTTGACGTAGCGGATGAGCCTTACCCGTCGTTACACGAATCCCACAACAGACACCAACTGCACCATCATCTCCACCACCACCACCACCACCATCACCACCAGCTACAGCAACAGCATCATCAGCATCACTTGCACCTGCATCGGATGCCGCAGCAGGACCCAATCCTGGACGAGGATGATGGCAGCTTTGGACTGAATGCGCTCGATCTGCTGAACTCAGCAGCTCTGAGCTTGGTGGATTCCACACTGCTGGATTCCGGTGAGTCACTGGCCACTGACCTCACCCCGGGATTGCCCGCCGAAGAACAGCTGTACCAGTGGTCGCTGAACCATAGTGGCTTCCTGCCCTACTCGCACATTCTGTCGCCCGCCACCAGCGTCCTGACAATCATGGAGGTGCACTCGAAACATGCCGGTAACTACACCTGTGCACCATCCAACACGCGACCCGCCAGCATCACGGTTCACGTGCTGCAAGGTAAGCAAAGTTTAACCTGCTACAACTGTATTTGACTTCGACTCCGGGAGGAGGGATGTGGTGCTGCTAGCGCTGCATGGATTTACGGCGAAGTAATGGTGTAATTACACTAGTTTTGCATCCACTAGGGCTGGGGCTGAAGAGAAACTTTTACCGAGATAATCAAATTACGGTTGCAGGTTTATGCGAATCACGCCGAAATTGCTGCTCTGCCACTAGCTATGAAAGGTAATCTCTTCAAGAAATTGAATGGCTTCATGTTATGCTCTTAGCCATTATATCCATTTGAAGGAAAAAAACAAATGCAACTATAATATTTCAACCCTGAAAAGTGCTGCACACTTTTCCATCGAGCAAGATGCTGAATATCCGGTTTCACGTACAGTGTATTCCAAAATTGAAAAAAAACATATATTTTCATAACCACAGGCTACATTTTTAGGATTAGGCTAAAATTTATTTATTTAAGCCATCAGTCATTTTGTAGAGCACTTTTAAGTTCCATGATTTGTCTTAAAATATCCTATATATTTTCTTTTTTTTTTTGTAGGGATCCAGTGGCAGCACTTGCTTAAACTCTACACTGGACCCCTTTTATTGATAAATTTTGCTTCTATGAGCCTCTATTTTAAATCAACACACAGACGTTCCTAGGCTATGGTGCCCGTTTGGTCACTGTTGTTTTTGTGCTGATCCAAATAGTTTTGATAATATAATTGCGCATTCTTTTTTTTTTTTAAGGTTGATTTTTGTCCCAGTCTTGTCTTCTGTCGTCACTTATTTTGTCATTTTGTCTTGTGTATTAACCCCCACTTGTCTTGTTTATTGTGTCAACTTGTGTCTATTGTCCTTCCCCATCTGTTACTCTGTCATGACTAATTTCATTGATATATAAAAATAGTAATATCAATTACAGGATAATATGGTTATTTCTCGATTACTTTTTCAAAGGGAAGCACCAGCTCCTGCAAACAATGCATCCGATCGTCGATCTGGCGCAACCGGCAGCTCGCACACGCTTATCAACACCACCAGCAGGTAGAGGAAAATTTCCGCTATCTGATGATAGTGCCAGCCCACGTGGGCGAGCCACCAGTTAAGCCAAATCAACGACCAAACGCACCGCCTACAAAAGCCGATACGCTCCCTTGAAAAAGTTATCGAGATTTCTACTAATTAATGAATTATTGACAATTACCTCTCATGATCCTGGCTCTGATTTTAACTTACCACTTTTTGATTATTTATCAAATACCTCTCCCAGAATATATAACTCCCCGATGCCTTGTAGGTTTCTGGTCTCATTTGGATTGGTCCTGAATTTGTTTGACATCCTGTTCGAAGTAATTCTTTGAGTTCCAGCTTGTACGTGTCTCACGTCATATGATTCGCCATTCATAAAGATAATGGGTTAAAAGGGAGTAAAACATACATAAAGGTAGATTAGTATTAGTTGTACTTGATCCAAACAATAGAAAGAAGCATAGATGACTCAGTAGAAAAATAAAACTGATATATAACTAAAAGTGCAATGGATAAGTGTTAGTTCCGGGATCATTTTAGTGTTAGTAGTTATGTTAGTTTTGGTCCGTATTCAGCCCTGCCGGCCCCTCCAGCACTATTTGCAGCAATTGTGATAAGATTATGCGACACTGCTACTACTACTATGTTAGATGTATGACTTGTCAATTTTCGCAACGCAATGTCTTTCAATAAATCACTCAATCAATTTGATGTTTGAAAATTTGCTCAAAAGGGTTTTGTTGACACATCATACCTTACCGAAAACTAAAGCACAACAATCCTAATTCTTATTTCAAACCTATCAACATATTTAACACATCTTTCCTAAAACTTCACTTGTTCGTAAGCGCCTGGTTGAAGATATGACTTTCGCTATTGACATTGTCTGTAATTAACAAATACACTAAATAGGAAGATTTATTATACAACTTCATAGGCTAGTCACCTCCCTATGCGGACCCCCCGCGTCCTATCTCTTATGTTAATTAACTTTCTGAATTCTATAATTGAAGTTTATTTAATAAATAACTGAAATCTCTAATCTACCCACACAATCATAACCCATGCTTTTAAACTAAAATTTAACGTGTTTCAAGTACTTCTGGCTTTGACATATATTTATTATATCTTTGTTCGTCCCAGGTGACACCTTCAAGTGACTAAAATGCTTCACTTTGAAGTTAGTTTCCAAGCTAATTTTAAATTGTATATTGTATAGGGTAAATGTTCCAACTACGCTCTCACACCTCCACTATGTGGCACCACAAAAATACATATGGGTATGTCACAATAGAAGCACACCACAGTGGAAATCCCGAGTCATAGTTCAAACACTTATCCCAAATCAAAATGAAGCACATATAAGATTAGTTACAATACCATGTACAAAAATGATGTTTAACATTGTTTCCTGAGTAATACTTCAATGAAAACAACAATGAAAGCTTGTCACGCAAATAGAAGGAGCACCGTTGGGCACTTTCTGAAATATTTCAATAGTATAATTCCCTTGCAAACCCAAATAAATCTATCTACGTAAAAACATAAGAGTGATTTGCGGCAAAACCCGCCAGTATCGCACCCAACGTCAGTGCCTATACGTAAGCGTACTACGACGCGGCTCTCAATTAAAGGAGTAACAAGTGTGATACTATCACTGCTAGGCTAGATCTTTGGTTCTCTCATGCAGTGGTTTATCAGAGAGGGGAAGCTTAGTAATCCCCATTGCCTGCCCATGACGCCATTCTATTGCGGCATGAGCCAGCAACGCCGATCATAAACCTACCGTCTCCAACACTCCACTAGCATGAAATTAAGCCCGCCCATCAACAGCAAGGTGCAAAAACTAACCAAGGGGAGGGATTTGTCTTAAAATATCCTATATGTATGTATAATAATTTATAACATTTGGTGTAAAACATATGTTGGTATTTTAATCCAATTTTAATCTCCTGTAGCAATATTCCTCCGTGTTATAAAATATATTTTTAACCTTGATTTAGTCATATCGATGTCAAATAATTTGCAGTGTTTATTATACGCAAGCATCATTTGGTTCATGGGCCCATACTTTGCATAATTTGTACGGTAATGATTAGTGACAAACAAAGTTCGATTACGTAGATTCCGCAAAGGTGTATGGAAATTTAGTCTAGATAGAATAGCTGCTGAATCAATAGGATGTGAAATTAGATCATTGCACATTCACGACGCTCTTTAAGTATTTGAATGTTTATAAGCATGTCCAAGTAACATTGCAAGTTTTATCACGGTTTTACAAGTCCAAAACAATAGTCTGAAGAACCCTCATAAAACCCCAATTGCTACTTGGGTACAGCGGGCCTCGTAGGATGGAAGCCTAATTTGCTGAGTGTATATAACAAGAAATGCTTCTGAACCGATTCAATTCCGTTTCATGTATACTAGAGTGTTTCACGCTACTCCCTAGAATCGTAGTTTGGGGGGTCAGAAACACCGTGCCAAAATTTGAAATCATTTGGTTCACGGGAACCCCTCGTTCAAACGACTTGAAGTTTGTATGGGGAAAATCGACAAAATGTATGGGGGAATGAGCCACTTTCACATTTGCGGCTCTAGGTGGCGCTGTAGTTGGTCGATTTTATTCATGTACACAATTTAGAACCTGTGAAGTATTGGAAACATCTTGGCTCAAGACCGGATGTGAATCCGAGTTACCTCTGAAAAGTTATTAGCGTTTGAAATGAACACCATCTGCCTCACAGTAAGTAGAAAAATGTTCGAAATTTTAGTCTACTGAAAATTAGAACAGATTGGTCAAGTGGTTCCGGTTTTATTCCGGGTTTTCGAGAGGCCACCGAGGAGGAGAAAAGGTACCAGGCGTCTGGAACAAGGTGATGCTGGAAATCCACAGCAACTGGCATCTATGGGTAATGCTGATTAAAATTTTAACAAAACTTACCCACAACCTGGTTCTAAATACTGAGTTTCCACAAGAAGACCATCCGGTGACCCGGATCAACCTTAATCTTCATTATTATGTATTTTTGATCAAAGTATGCCTTGGTTATTCTCTGCAATCATATGAAATGAAGAAAAATGGGGATTATTGATATATTGGCTGATCATTGGTTTCGAGTGGTCATCTGATGACCCACCGAATTTTCGTCTGCATTTATATGCTAAAGCCCGATTCAAAGCAAATTTGGACGCATTCAAGTGATTATAACTCAAGAATTAAACAACATACACGGTTGATCAAAACGTCAAACAAAAGGGTATTTATTCAACTTTTAAACGATGTATAACAAGTTATTACATTTTACCGTTTCAAACGAACTGTCGCACTTTACTTGTGATCGATGCCATCATGATCTGCACAGTCGCTGGTGACACTGTACCGGCGAACTTAACCGCTTTAAACGCATTTGTTGTGCATTTGTCACTTCTTAACCGCAGTCTCAAAGTTTTCGCTTGACAATTGCACAATATTTTTCGATCGGTTTGAACTCAGGGCAATTCAGAGGATTAATCTCTTTGGCGACTAAATTAACATTGTTTGCAGCATACCATTCTAGTACCTCCTTAGAGTAGTGGCAGCTGGCTAGATCCGGCCAAAACATAACGTTGGTCTTGTGTTGCCGAATGAAGGGTAAAATCCGCATTTTCACACACTCTTTATTGTAAACCTTCGACGTCATTGTGTGAGATGTGATGAAAACCTTGGTTTTAAGGCCACAACTGCAGATTCCTTGCCAAATCATTAGTTTCCGAGCAAACTTATCAGCAAAAACAAATTTATACATGAAAGGGACATCCCCACGACCGGTTGCCAGGTAAAATTTTCGTCCGAGGATTTGTTTATAATCCATTTTGACATATGTTTCGTCATCCATTAAAATACAGCCAAATATCGTCAAAACTCGTTCGTATAGTAATCGTGCTGGCTTTTTGGCCACTAAATTTTGTTTCAGGGAGCTATTCGGGTGTTTACTGGC